CGGTGTGCACCCTGCTGCAGCGCTACATGTGACCCATTTGCGAAGAAAATGTCAGCTGGGTTTGTAGTCAATTCAGCAATGTATTTCACTTGATTGTAATTATGGGTGGCTACTTATTTTGTTATGCTAAGTATAATTGGTTTCACGCCAAGAATGCCAGACCTGATTTGGTCCGAGGGCCAGGGATCAGATCATTAAAGGTCAATCTACGTCAAACACGTTTGCTATTTTATGGCGCATTTGTGACACTTTTTAAATAAAGTTTGATTTTGCTGTGTCAAATTAAAGTTATTTTGACTAACATCGCTTGATCCAATGCATTGGATTCATTGGCTGCGGGCAGGGCTGGGCCAGAGAAAGGCGTTTAAAACAAATAAGTACCGACAGGCATCACATGGTTAATGCCGGAGCTGGCATTGACGGATCATATCAGCGAATGCTCGTTGTTTAACATATTCTGCTGTTGGGTGCAAGCGACTCTGGCTAAAAAAAATGGCAAGCCATTTTAAGGTCATGACCATCCATTAAAAGTGGCTTCATGCAACGTCTGATGTGGCCTGCTATCACCTGTGATTGCAGTGCAATGCACATCTACTACAGCGTTATACATTTGTTCAGCCCTGCTCTTCCTTGTGTAATGTCTGGATATGATTATCAAGGCAATGCCTTGTAAATGTCTGTTTTGTTTTTACTTGTCACTGGTCTTTCAAAATTCACATGATTTTCAAATGATTTGCTGTACTCGCTAACGCTTGCAGTAGGAACACATGTCGAAGCATTGACGTTTCGCTGTATGCGCAAATTGACACATAGGATGCTGCCAAATGTAGTAGTTTTAATCGGGATGGTTTTTAGCAGGTGCCAGGAATATATCAAAAACTTTACTATACCAGTGTTTACGTCACATATCAGCGGTGACACCGTGCTTTTACAATGCCCTCGGATCAGTGATATTCACAGATTTTTCAGCCAAGGTCCATTTTTCATGCTAAGTAGTATAAAATACCAAATAACTGGGCCTATTACTAGTCGTAAGGACCGTGGCGGGCCGCAGCATCTTGCAACGAGCGTGATCAGTTTGCTACGCAACATACTGATCGTTGGACAGCCGAGAGACAAACCTCTTTTTATTTTCACATATGGCATATAAAGCTGAATGAAGGTAGAAGAGATGCTCAAAAATGTTGTCTGCATCGGCCAGGGGCCCGATAAACCAAATTCGGAGTCATCTGCCTGCTGCATCATTGGACCCCTGTATCGTTAATCCTTTTGATCCTTTGAATCGATTAACCATACATGGGTTAAGCGATCTTTGGCGTCAGTGAGGTTTCCCTGCGTCAATCCGGAATCAACTGCTTCGGCCTGAGGGCCTTCCGCGTCAGGAAGGGGACCTATGCATGATGCATCCCTCCCATCTCTTGAACAACTATGGGGGCCCCGACCATCGGTCTCCACAATAGTAGCCATTAACCCTTGACCGGGAAAGGCAGTGGGGCCCCCTGGTGTTACACTCACGGGGCTCTCTGCCCGCGGAAGGTAAAGGGGTCTCTTTCAGACCGGAAAAGGGCCTGTCCCGTACCTGAAACTGTTGTAGGGGTTACCTGTTTTAGCATTGATTCTTTACGGACCGGAGATGCGCTCTTTATGCTTACATGGATCACACAAAATCAACGAATTTCTTCCACAAATTCGCTAGGGACCCTATTTGGGTACCTGAAATATGAAAGATAAGATAGTTTTGGCTCCTCCCCTCCCTCCCCCCCCCCCCCCTACACCGTGAAACAGTTTGCCCTGCAAATACACCGCCACTGGCGTTCTGAGCCTAAGATGGACCCGCTCCAGACCAAAGATTGGCCCTTTCCAGGCCCATAAAGGGAAATGTTGGGCCTGGGGGAGTGCCTTTCCGAGAAGCGCCAAAAAGGTTTTTCCGAGCCTAAAGCTCTCCGTTTCTCAGCCTATACTGGATCCCTACCTGACTTGAGACGAGCCGTTTCTAAATTCATGATGGCCGCTTCCAGCCTTGAGAGGGCGAATTACATCTAGAAAGCCGTATTTTCAACCTCATTTTTATCCACCCTACTTACTGTTGAGAAGATTCCTCACATTCTCCTGGCAAGGGCCCCGTGGGTTGTACAATTAGGGGCACATTGTTTTTTTCTGTCAGGGGCTTGAAAGGCCATTGCGTCTCAGCGCGGGTTACCTACCGGCTACCAATTTGGCTGCACAGCAAATCTGGCCTGGTCATCCGGATGCCTTCAGAGGGATATATTATACAGTGGTTCCCTCTGTGACGCGGGAGGACCTCTGAGCCGGGAACTTGGTCCGGAGCGATGCGGTAGTCTTCATTGCCGCATAAAGATCCCCTATCGCCACAGATAGCCCAATAACTGGCAAAGAGTCTACAGTTCGGCTTAACGGACCCCTCGCTGAAATGGCGCGGAGGACCCGTTCGGTACTGGCTCCAGACTGACACAGGGCTCTTTCATTGTCTCATTATGGACTACCATTGCGAGGTCTCATAGCTCCTTATCTAGATTTGTGAAATGGGCCCACAGCGCTCAGACCGATACGAAACCGACTGCTCGGTGCCGCTGATGCCTGACCGATGAAGAGGCCCTCATTGAGTCAGAGGGCCCCAGGTCGGCGCAAAGGGCGCTCTAACTGACATCTGAGGATCCAGCACTACGCGCCAGCCCTTTAATACAACTTCCAGTCAGTCCTCTGGACCTCTTCGAACACTGCTTCCGGCCAACTCGGGGCCCTAATCGTCCGTCCAGAGGGGTCCTTCGGAGCCCTCGTTGGGTAACATCGATAATTCCCTTGGCAGAGTTGGGTCCAATTTCCAGCACAAGATCCTCTACTAGGCACTCTGCGCACTTGACCGACAAAGGGGCCCCTCATTAAGTCAGGGCCCGACCAGCGTAAAGTGGCCAGGAATTCGCCCGGTCGGGGAGTTTCTGGCCACCATGGGCACTCTGGTTCTTAATGGCCCTTGTATCTACTTGGAGCACCGCGACCTTTTAAGCTCCCTGCTGGATGCTAAGAAGACTTCAGAAGTACTCGAGAACTTTTCGGCTGCTTAGGGGGTCACATTGACTGCCCAGGTCACGGGGGCTCACGGGCTTATCAGATGGGGCTTTCTGGGCAGCCGCAGGCTGTTGTGGTACTGTCTGAACTTCTGTTCGGCAAATATTTCCGTTGGCTCTTCTCATACGTATGACCATTTATCTGTCCGCACCGCGCGGGCCGAAAAGAGCCCCGTCATAGGATTCGAGGCCGCTCACCATCCCCCTCCCCCCCTTTCCCATCCAAACCCCAATAGAGCCTTCAGCCAAGACTAGATGGTGCAATGTATTTTCCATTGGAGGCTGAAGTGTCTTTCCGTCCCATTTCGGGCTGCCGACCGGCTACCATTCTGGTGATATGATGACCGGAGCGCTCAGATCCGGATCCCTAATTGATCCGGAGGCCTTCAGAGGGATACGCGACACACTGGTCTCATCCTATGACCGGGACGGTTGACCCTGGATCGACGCCACTTCCCCACGGAACCCAGTCCGTCGTGCTTGGGCGCTGGATAAAACGGGCGGTGAGCCGCTGTTCGATGCTGGTCCCCTGGCTAACACGGGGTACTTCCGCTGCCTTACTGTAGCTCCCTGCATATCTCCTTTTGTTGTCGGAGAGCGCCGACTAACACAAAACGCCCTCTGCTATTCAGGGTTCCGTCCCTATCTCCCCAAGCAGTCACAGGAGGATGCAACTGGTCAGGGACTTCCTAAAAGCTCGAATAGTCCCTCAGTAGCCCGGCAGGCCATGGACAATTAAAACAGCCGATCAGCGGCCAGAGGGGCCGTTAGCATACAGAACTCTGAGCAGGCAATACGACCGCTGGGCAGCCAAAAAGGTCTTTTGGCTCCGAGGTCTCCTCGGTGTTCTGAAGGGATTGTTTTTTCATTCAATACGTTCAGTTTTCTTCCACCTACGTGAGTCGAATAGGATGCTCACAAAGTGGCTCTTAGACTCGCTTAACCCCACTCCCAGATTTTTGGCTTTCCGGGGTTCGGAGGGGGCCCGGATGTCTCGACCTCCACATGATCTCCAGTCGTGTGTATGAAATTGTAAAACTGAAAAGTGCGATGTTCGGAAAAATGTGAACTTTGACTTGCCATAATCGGATCATATGTTGACCTAGCAACATTAAAACTTACTACCAGTCGTGAGGTCCCTTTGAGACCAATCCATCGGTGTCTTCCGCTAAGCTATATGTCTCAGTTTGGAAACGGCAGGGATGGCCAATCAGCAAACCACGGCGAGAGTTGAAATACTGCATCGAATCTTACAGGCATGTCTCCGTACCATTTATGTATCAACTTTGTTATAGAAGTGTCTATAAGTATGCATCCGGTCCTGCTGAGTGAATATTAGGACAATGTCTCTGTTTCCATTTCTGCGCCAGGTTTGTAGCGGAAGTGCCTATAAGCATGTATCTGGTCCTTACGAATGGGGATTAGGACAATGCCTCGTGGCCACTCAAAGTAATGTAAAGATATCGACATTTGAAAGGCTAGAAGTATGGAAGAAGCAAAGCCATTCACTTGAAACATGCTAGGTGTGCATTCTTTGCCTATTATCGTCTTCTTATGATACATTGTAATCAGTCCGTGTGGAGAAGTTTACAGCTCCACAGATTGCTTTACTAAAGCTGTGATGCTGAAACCGTATCTGCATCAAATTTCTCTTTTTACAGATGCTGGCATCCTCAGCCCCAGCAATGCAATCCTTGATACTGCAATACACTTCATCACGAAAACATGAAAACGCGAAATGAGAGCCTAATTGAGAAAATACAGTGCACTTTTTAATCCACTTACTTTCAAGGGAATCGCATAATTTCTTCTTTCGTATATCCTCGTAAACGCCATCCCTCTTCATCCAGGGCACCACACAGACCGAATCTTCATGGTTGACCATCTCCTTCAAAAGGCATAATTCTACACATTTAGCCCTAGATTCGTTACGTCCATATGATCTACATTCCCCATCTTGTGTTGTCTTCTCAACTGGAAACAAACGTAGCAACATAAATACATCTGGGGAGGTGTTGATGTTAAAGATGGTATTAAACTGCTCATGCTGTGTCCACGAAATCCTAATTTGCGAATATAGTGGTGATTCTTGGATAAATTATTCATCGTAGGAATCGATATATGACTTTCATATGGCATGGAAGACTCGGAGATATCTGTAATTAGCATATCCCTGGTATCGGTGGCAGCACTGATTTGTTTTTTGCCAAGATGCGCACGTTGTAAATCGATACGTCATATTGGCTTCCTAAAATGAAGAAAATGCAGTGTTTGAGATCAGACAATCATGCTGTCGTAGGATTTAAGCACTGTTTGTAACTGGAATTATCAGGTGGTGAATAAAGAAAAGGACTTACTTCTGCGAATGTGGAGAACAGTGTCTTTGTCCATTGGAATCCGATAAGGGCGTAATATGGAAGCAACCGGCAGATCACTAAATTCTTGAAACGTATTGATGAACACCAACAAGTAGCTCTCTGTTGTCCTGAAACAAGATCATGTTGCGTTAACTGTTAAGATGATCAAAATTATTATCATACACATGAGTGACTGATTCTCCTCACCTCAACAAATGCTCAGAGAGTGTAGCGGACTGTAGGGTGTGTGTGTGGGGGGGGGGGGGGCGGATGATCCCGCCCCCTGGCCATCTCAAGAACCGCAAAAGGTTAAGTGAAGAAACTCCCAAGATAGATGGGTGCTGTAACGAGCTATGTTGTGTGAAACATTCATTATCCTACATCAATATATTGAAGGCCATATGAGGTGACACATGTCAAACTTAGAACGTTTTTTTTGTTATTCGGACTGTCATTCTTGTCAATCGCTGCAATGCGTTTACGTGTGCTGTGATGGAACTCTCCCGCATTTTTGTCATGGTGTACGATGTGATACAGATGCTATGTACACTATGCAGTAATATGAAGCTTATGTATTAACAAGTTATGCCGCATTGCATGTCGTTGGTCGGCCAATTGGCTGCCCAGCCGGGTGGCCATACAGCCAAGCGTAATGACCTTTGAAAATAATTATATAGCAGCTGAAGTGTGCAAATTGTAGTGAATGAAACGCAAACACCATTTGCTACATGAGAGAAGAAAGCACGTTTTCTGAATGTTTAGCGGACAACTTACCAAAATCACATGATTCGCATCGTAGTATTTGTGCTTGTGGCCATCATCAGGTTAGCGTAGATTATCCAACTGGCATTGACCTGTTAGGAAATCGACCTGAGCTAACCTCGCTGGTCCAGTATAGCCTTTGTAATTATTGGCCAAGCACTTTAAAACCTATTACTAATCGTGAGACCTCTTTGAGACCAATCTACCGTTTTTGCTTCTAAGTTCTATCTCTCTTAGTTTGGAAATGACAGGTGATCCTATCGACCCGCCTCCCCCCCCCCCCCCCCCCCCCACCCTCTACCAGACCGCGTTATGAAAAACGGTGTGTCAGCGCGAGGCTTAAACAACGCGTTTGGGGTTTAAATTACTTGTCGGCAAACCATTGTGAGAGTCTGCTGGTTCACTCCGGAGATCTTAACAAACAAGTGGAGTGGGTGGAGTGAGTCCCACTCCCATACCTCGCCCCACAATGTGCGTGCTAGGATAGGTAAATTTACCTCTATTTTAAGACAAAGTTCAATCGCTCTTATTGATAGGACTCCCATTTAATTCGGAACACCTTTTTGCATCCCAAAGTTGGTTCCTCAGCATTTTAATATTGATAACGCACGCTTAGAAGAAAACCTTGCGGAAAAATATTATATTATTTGAGCTTAGGTAAAGGTGTCTACTATAACCACACACATCACATTGCAATCCATATACATATACATGCTACGATTTTGAATAAGGCATTTCTCGCTGCTGAGAGCCGAACAGTCTGAAGTTGCAATGAGGAATGGAGTCTTCACAGCTCCGAAGGCGAGATAAGTAAATATTTCCCCGCGTGTGACCGAAAAACCAAGCGGCGAAAAAGCGAGATTTGAGCAGAACACACAAAAACAACATTTCATTTTCTTTCATGATTGGCACAATGACTTATGAAAATGAAATGCAAAGATGTCATACCCCGTCGCAAGCGAACAGGTAGCTATGTTTTACCACGTTTGGTGTGCTCTTCCACTCAGCACAGCACCACCATGGTAATTCGACACGCTCATGCCTCACATTGTGTTGAGAATTAGCGCTTGGTTTTAACTGATGTGGAGAAATCACCTGGCGCAATCTTAGGTCCCTCGGACGTATGGATAATGAGCTATCACCCGAGGCTTTTTCATAAATGGAGTTGGCAGTGATGTGTTCCTAACATTTTAGCACCCATGGTCATGCACAAAATGATATCAACGTATCTATTTTTGCGATCGCAAAGAGTTGATTAATGACTAAGAGTTAATTAATGATAACATCAAAGGTCATCGGTCCAATATCGCATATAATCAGTTCTTAACATTGTATTCTGGAGATACCAGTTTTCGTACGTTGCCTTTCCGAAAAAGAAACGAAATCCGAGAGCACGATTGTCTGAACTAACTTTTCATGACTCAAAGCATGGTCCTTTTCACTCATTTTAGCATTCGGCCGTCTCCGAAATGGGACATTCGTCTGCTATCATACGGCCCCAATGCACTGATAACCGTTTAGATTGCTTCGCTAGTCGGTGCCAAGGGTACGTTAGTGCCTGCAATCCCCTTAGCACCGTATCAACCTAGGCGGTTCTCTCATGTGTACCAATTCTAAATGTCATCCTGTCCAGTAGGAACAATGTCTTAAGCGTGCAAGCTGACACGCTCAGGACGTCTGACAATGCGCTTCTGCGGCGGGGAACCTCTGTACTACATGCGACACGAACATGACGGGATATTTACAGGACAGCAGCTGAAGGACAACACTGATACCCTTCAGACATGCAATGACAGATCTAAACTTGGAGACGTGTAAGTATCGATGAATTATCCCGATCTCTAAGCAAACAAATTATCGTACAGCTCTTGAGTTACTGGGTGAAGACGTAACACATCGTTGATATCATTGGGATTACGTGTCTCGGTAGTGTGTTGTGCCATTGCTGATGTATTTCACACACGTTTAAACAACGGCCTCATGGCGATAAAAATGATTAACCCCTCCCCTTATTCTGGGGTCACATGTCTTCGCCGCTCGCTCAAAATACCTCATAAAGATGCAGTGGAAAAACTCAAGCTCTCAACTTAACCCATGTGCTATTTGTGTGTCTTCGAAGATGCCATATGACCTTGCAACGTTTAAAGATATGATACTGTTGAACATATCAGTGATATTGAATACACCATTTTTGATTCTATCAATACTACAAAGACAAACCACAAAGTTTTTAACCATGCCTAAAGCAACCATAAAGGATATCGAACATATATAGGATAACTGGTACATAATTTTCTCAGGATGCACCGATCGTGTCCCATGTGTATGTTCGTAGCATGCCACAAAATACAATATCCACATGAGTGCCTAGGAAATCAGGTTAGGGTGGATATACTTCCACCGTCAAAGCTTATACCAATATATGATCCAACGATCCTCCGAGGCCAAAAATTCGTTTGATTACTTGTGTGTTAGTAAACAGCTGAGGCTGATAACAGTCGGTTTCGACATGGAGCAGCCGTCTTTGTATTTAGCCGAAAAGGGAACTTTTGTGAGCCCAATCCCCAAGGTAGTTTGCTGGCGGCAATCGATCGTCGATGCCCACCTTTGGAATGCACTGCTGAAAGTGTAACAATTTGTTGTTGCCCAGGCGATATTCCGAACGTCTCTGTGATGGGGCCTTACGATTTATGGTATTTTTGTGGGCAAAGTACGCATAGCTCCTACATGGCGCAAGCGAGTGAAATGATCTTGATATCCACAACACAACAAATCACGACACTCATTAGGAAGCGGATACGTGTAAAAGCTTACACTTATAATCCTAACGTTGTTAACGTGATGAAATGAGCGACACTGGTAGCCTAACTTGTGCACATAAAGGACTGGAAGCCGGGAACTTCTGCAAACATATCGCGCGGATGAAGCAAGCCATCCGCGTTAGCAAAACGACGTATTTATTACAAGAAGCATATTTGATTTATTACAGCAATCGAGTAATGTGTTGATGGCAACGGCACTATTGAAATACTAAGTTGCGATTGATTGCGTACGACTTACCTTCTCAAAATAAGCTTCAGTTGGTACCGTTGATGCAGTATTTTATGACTCTTGGATTGGATATATCTTCGGCAGTTTGGTCCAAAACTTAAGACTTTACTTTGCACTGTAATTTTTTGTGACGGGCTGCTGAAATTACCTTGATTATTTTGTCCAAAATCCGATATCATCAGCTTGTGTAGGTCTTGAGCCGAAAACTCCAAGAGCTCTTGTACGGTGGTATTGTCATATCGCAATAGGTCAATATGTCTGTAAACTGCATCGAATTCGTCTATTTGCATTTCTTCCGAGAGACCGAAAAATGAGAATCCGTTAAATGTTTTCCTAAATGTGTATCCTTCAATAGCTTTATCCGGCGCGATATGTGAGCACGTCGTGTTATTCCAATTGTTCCGGAGAAATTCCATTTTATGCAAGAATGTATCTTTCTCATGCACAAAGTGATTCTTTTCAAGGCATGAAACTGCGAGCTTCAAATCATCGCCAGAAAGTGAATTTTCCATATCAAATGTGTTAAAATCGACATTGGTAGCGATCTTGTAATAGCGACCAAAATTCAATATCTTCGATGGTTCAATTGCTGGGAATGGGCAGACGGTGATTTCAAGTCTTGTTTTATCAACTGTTTCTGTTGCAGTGTACACCTGTAAAAAGGCAGAAATCACGGTTGTGGTTAGCTGCAACAAGGCATATTTTTCTGCTGCTGACACAACAAAACGTGCCTGACAGAAGGCTTCAGGACAGATCTCAGCACATTGCTGTTAGCTATCAGTTTACATTACTAGCTGTCAGTATTGCGAATGCTATAAACCTCGCTGCACGCACGCTACTGTGTAGCGAGGATGGAGAGGCAATCTTTTTCAGCATCAGCGAAGGGATTTTGCCACGACCAAACCATTCGAGATCCAACATAAGCCATAAGCAATGTAAGCCAGTCAATTCTCATTCTCTTTAAACCAGGACTTACACTACCTCGTGCAATATCATGTAGGGTTAGTTTGGACATTTGAATGGCCTGTATCGTGACATACAAGCCTGGCACTAATGGTCTGTTCACACGAACTTTTTCAGTGCATCGGATGCACGTCGAAAGCAGGCAACGTTGTGCTAAAAAAGTGAGGCGTCTAATGTATACCCACGACGTGCTTAAATTGAGATAAAATAGAGCGAGCTCGTCGCATTGCAGGGGCGGCGAATCATGGGGAGGGGGGGGGGGAGCTGGCAGCGTGATAGAAGTGTCCCCGATCTTTTGAGGTGTGGCAAAACTAACTTTTGCCCCCCCCCCCATCATTTCAGGTGGTCTAGACGGAGTCCACGAGTATGTGATAGTACTGGCTTACTGTATCCCCAAACCAAACTTGAAGGACCCATGTCTGGGCCCGAAAGGGCTATCTTGAACCCAGAAGGGAATCGTTTCGAGTCCGCGAAGGGCCAATCTTAGGCTGGAAACGTTATATTTCGAGGCCAGAAAATATTCATGTCACTTCTGACGTGGTAGGGGCCCTCTCTGGTCTAGAAAAGGCTCTCGTAAGGTCAAAAAGGGTCCGTCTCAGGTCATGAAAAACGCCCACCGCAGGCTGAGAGAGGGCCCTCTCTCAGCCTGAGAGGGGGTCCTCTCAGGTCTGAGAGGACCCCCTCTCAGGCACGCCCTCTCAGGCGTTTAAGCACGCCTGAGAGGGGCTCTCAGGTCTGAAAAGGATACATCATAAATTTAGAAACGACTCGTCCCAAGTCAGGTAGGGACCCAGCAAGGCTGATAAATGGGGAACTTAATTTCAAAAAGACTTATCTCATTGTTGGGATCTGGAAAGGGCCCAGCTCTGGTCCGGAATGGACTCATTGTAGGATCAGAAAGCCAGTGGTGGCATCCGCTGGGCAAACTGCCCTCGATGCATGAGGTAAAGGCCAACACAATATTTTGCCCCAGATTTCAGGTGGCCTAAATAGGTGGTCGGATTTGTGAAAGAGATTTGGCTATTATGTGTAATCACGGAAGGTATAGAGAGCCCATCTTGAAGGGAGTGCTCCACATTTGTCTGTGGTTTCGAACTGAAATAGTAATCTTGAAGATCACTTGGTGCAGCTTACAGCCCTGCCCTCCTTAAGGCTTAAACCGGTCCATTTTCTGAGCTAAAATCAAGCGAGGACTTGCGGGCTATTTCGGGGAAGAGTATTTCAAGGTCACCCAGGCGGTCCATAACGCCGTAACAACACCATTCAGATTCTGCAATTCCGATAGCTATGAAGCGACCAGGGCCAAGAACAATGTAATCGTCGATTCGTTCATACGCGACGGTCGTGGGCACGATCTCCAGGTATAACTGACTCTCTGTCCAGATATAACTGTCAATTGCCTCTCTATCAATTGTGTGCAAAGTACGTTAACGGAATCAAACGCTAGCGTATTGAGGAGCATATTTACTCAATAGAAATATTGTGATGTCTAGAGCTTTCCGATCAGACTGAAAAGGCCCAATGTGGGCTCAAAAGACCCGTTTCTGAACAGGGAATGCCCTTCATAAGCTCAGAAACGTCCGTGTCAGGCCTGGGTGGAGTTTATCGTGAACATAGAAAGGGCTCTCTCACGTCTGGAAAAGGCCTTTGGTAAGCCCAATTAGGACCCTTATTAAATTACAAAATGACACATTTCAGGCTGAAAAGTGAGCATGGATAACAGGAATCGCATTTCAGCCTTCCACGGGCTTCTTAAAGGTCTGAATAGGTCACTGACCTAACACAACCCAGGTGATCATTTCGTTTTAGGATCATACTGTCTAGCGTAATATTTGACGTTCACTGAAGTGCAAAAATCAAAGCGTTCTTGTATGATTTTGATCGCCATGACTTGTGAAAGGTCAAACAAGGTCACTTACCTTAACTGAGCACCAGTGACCTTTTCCTTAGAATACCTATCTAGGTTTTGAGTCACTTTGACACCAATTTGGAGCTTGACCTTATCTTAAGTATTTGATCTTATTTGACCCAAAGGTCTTGACCTAGGAACCTCAAACTTTGTCAAAGTAAGTTCACTTGCAGGTCAACACACCCTGTGAAATTATTGTCTTTAACTGTTTTGTATGCTAACAAGTGCCGTTAATCATGTTCAACAGCACAACTTTAACACACGCCTCTTGCTTTTATCGCGTACACCTGGCTGATAAGATGGAAGAGGAATTTTTGGCGCTCACCTTGTACTTTGCGCCATTTGCTCCCAGAATGTTAGGATTAAGAACATTTTTTTTTGTGCTTCGGGTGTGGAAAATCCTCGGCATTAGCTGGCATAATGAATCCCAAACTACCGTCATTCTGGATTCTCCGAACTATTATGACACATTAATATGATTTTGTATTCGTATAGCACATTTTTCACTCTCGAGGCCCTAGTTTTCCGTTAAGATCTATGGGGATTATACAAAGATCACCTGCTCTCACAAAGAATCTTCACTTCCAGGTTTCGATACAAAAGAGCGTGCGGACAACCACGAATTCTTCGGTAAGTGGAAGAGGAGATTCACAGCATATCAGTCCATGGCAGTTGAGCTCACTTTATGATGAGAATGGGTCAGAAATGTATATTTTCATTTTATCAAACAAATACCTCCAGTCTGGTCGCCACGACAGCGTGTTCTTCTCGTCTCCGTACGTTGTCATTGAGGTGGGCCAAGGCGCTGTTATACTGCGTCATGCTGATTTTCCACTAACAGAGCCTCCAGAAAGCTACATTTGGCGCCGTATGCGGAAAACGTTCGAATGCAAGATATCGGATTAAATGAATGCAACTAAAACAGCGCATGAACCCCGTGAATTTTCAGGATAAAAAAGCGAAAACTGACAACGTGTTAGCACAGTGCTGATTAGTATTTCAACTGTAAAATTGTGTCAGAACTTGGAAGTTTTCATTCCCAGGAACGTCTTAGGTTCAATAAGAGCGCCAGAGCGGCGATTCACACCATGCGTCTTACGGTGACATTATGGGGACTTGGGCGCCATCCTGATGACTGCTCGCCTTCAGCGCATTCAAAAAGTCAGGGGCTGGTGTTGCATATGAAAAATTGTGAATGCTGCTCCCATACATTCTTTTTAATATCTTCCAAAAATCCTAGATTCAGACGTTTTTCAGATGTATTCTCTCTTCACATTCCATGTACAGGTGTTCTTTCAGATATATTCGTTTTGAGTATTCTGATCGTTGTAGATGTTCGTCAATTCTAGATTTTAGAAATAAGAACTGTCTTTAAAAGCAAGAATGCAACACCGTTTAAGCCACCCTTGTTTCACATTTGCTGCCGTGATATTATTTTAAACAGGGGTGTAGCTTTCTATTCAGTTGGCGGGAGACTGAAGCCCCCCCCCCCCCCCTCTCCTCCCAACATGGGTTGCCGTCCCCCAGCTTTGGGAAGAAGGTGGGCAAAATGCGGGGTCCTCCTGAAATTCTTTAATCCAAAAGAGGCCTCACATGGGTCCAAAGAGGCCCTGCTTGCGAAATTTTTGGCCTGCAAAACACGGCCCCTCGCAGAGTTTTGAACTTCAATGAAGACCGTCTCGGGCCCGAGGGGCCACGCTTCTTTAGTGGCGTATTCAGGCTTTGTCCAGGACGGCACCAATCGAGCCATGTGGGTCCTTCCAGTCAAAGGGCTCCTTTTTGCCGTTGTTTTTCGTTTTGGTAAGTGTCTTTTTCTGAGAGTCTTGAAATCCGAGCAGCCCTCGCTTAAGATTCAGGTGTATTAAGACGATCTCCAGTGGAGCAAATACATAATAGAAATAGGGCTATAATTTTATAATTAGAGATACGTTGCTCGGCTTGGGATCCTGTTTTGATGGCTCAGGGGCCGTTTTTATGCTTAAGAAACCCTACGGGTGTCTTAAACTGGTAGAATTAGCGGAGAGGCACTCGCGATCTCCAGAAGCGGGGAATGGCTCTAAAGCCCCTTCAAAGCTCCCAATGACCACCCCACTGCGCCTCTTTAACTTTAGAGCACAAAAATCACATGCAGGCTTCTCCGGGATCCATGCGAGCATGGGCAGCAGCGGACGGTAAAAAGGGGTCGTCACAGGAAGCTCAGTCTCATGAGACAGGACCGTCGAAGGCATCCGGCTCTCTCTTAAGATTACTTTTAGGCTGCGCGCCTGCTCAGATCATGAGAAACTTGATTTATTACTTTTCATGGCTTGCCTATGTATCACAAATCTGGAAAGGCGATGCCAAAAGGTCGTGAGGCCATCTGGCAGCATTGTATTTCAATAAATCCTATTACGAGAACAATGACCTGCCCTTTGTCAGAGTACGTTGAAATACCTTGCCACATACAGCTTCACAACCAGGTGCCAAAGCTTTCAGGACCCTTTAAATTAACCTTACAGTGCCGTTGCGCCATGTGAGGATTTTCCATGTTTCGGTAGATGTCCATCTATGGTGCCAAAAATACCAAGTACGCCATGTCTCTGGCGATGAGACTTTTTTCTTGAAACGAAGAAAAGAAAAAGACTTTTGAAAAAAAACTTTTTCTTTTTCTGAAGCTTGCAGACTTAGGTGGCGCTTGTATCTCAAATAAATGAACATGACAGCAATTCTATATATGTGTCTCAACAAATCCATGCATACCGCTTGCAAGAATATATCGCCTTCATTTAAGGGAGTGCAAATTGCCGGAGTCAAGCTTACTGTCTGGGGATCCAAAGTCCTATTCCTTTAGTTTCTTTCCGCTCCGTTGAACTCTTTTGTCGCCCGAAGGTGGAATACCCCGTCACAGACAGTGTAAGGTATGACGACGCAATCAAACAATGACGTATTCAAGGACATAATTACTAAACAGATAAATTGTGTTGTCCGAAGCCGTCTTTTTCACTTAAAAGTACACCAATGCTTATAAGTGAGGTTATTTCATCATAGCTCATGCTTGCTTCAGTATCTTAAAAATGTGGAATATTTTCTTTAAAGGGGTAGGGCACACTGGTTTTCGCCTGGTCGGCATTCAACCTTCCACATCTGTAAGGGCCCACCTCAAAGAGGGCTGTCCTGAGTGAGGCTTTGGGGAGCAGAGCAGGAGGGGCCAGGTGGCTAGGTCTCTTTGGTACAAAGATATTCCTCCTGAGGGGGGGGGGGAGGAATCTCGGGTCCCCTGGTATTGGTTTGGGAGTAGTGGTAAGCGGGCACCTGAGTAGAAACATACCCATGAGCCAACCTACCTCTAACAGGGGTCCACTTCAAACGGGCCAGTCCTTGAAGCCAATCAGAACCTCTTCCAGACCCCATGCTGACGTAAGCTGATCAAACGAAGAGCGATTGGCTGACTTGCCTCATTCAGATCTGAGGGGGACCATATGGGACTTTCTCGAGCACCCGAATGGTCCTTTTCCATGGAAAGGCCTCTTGGGCAGAAAATGTGGCCTGAGAAGGGCAGTGAAGACTCAAACTGACTGCTTTGACCAGGGATTCCAATATAGCTTGTAGGAATAATTTCCCAGGAAAGGCCCGCAAAACGTCTTCTGAGAACCAACCCTACCCTAGAGTTGATCACTCGTGCTCGTCGCGATCCTATCTCTATTCCTGCCAGGTGACCACCAGAAGCTTTTTCCGCTAAGGTTCTTAGAACATTCAGAATGGAAACAGTATGCCCTGGGCTCCTTGGACATGGGCTCAAATGTGCCAATGGAGCGAAGGATGGATGGCGAACGGAGCGAGGGGAAGGATGTGGTGGCGATTGCCTCGTTGTTCATGAGATATTCCTTTTTGTACTCTCTCTTCTTTTCGGCCTTCGCTGGCTCTGTCATGAGATCAGTGCAGATCCTAGGCTCACTACCGTGATTTCGTCGAGGGGAGCACGCAACATTGTATGCGTGTCTGTAATTTGGGACCCCTCCGGTTGTCTCTTTCAGATCTGAGTGACATCTCGGAGGACTTTTTCGGCTATCCGAATGGTCTTTTTTCACGGAAAAGTCTCTTGGGAAGAAAATATTGCATCACATTGATCACTGCTCTCTGGAGCAGCCACGTGTTGCGAAGTTTCCTGTCCAAATTCCATAAAACCAAAATACCACACCATGCCATGACCACAATTTGCGGTTTCCATGAGGATTCTTGTAGCTTTTCCATGACCACAACTTGATTCGGAACCATTACCGATTAATTCATTCAACCTATTCACGGTAATACAGAAAAAAAGAAACCAGAAACTGAAGTCTACATCAACCTAGAGAGATTCACATGATGGCAGATCATATTTACCTGGGCATCATCGTGCTCTTCATATCTCCGTTCGGAATTTTGCAAAATAGTGCATAGTAAACCAATGCACAACGCAATGACGCAGAAGCGTGCACTTAAGTGGATGACTTTGATGGTCCTCTCTCGCACAGTGGGTCGGCGTAGCACTGAAAAGTACGTAAATTTATTATCAGACGGTTCGAAAGCATTTTGCTCTTTACCATTGCGTCAACGCAGGATCGTTTATATCTTGTCACCTTTAGTCGCATGTGAGGTCCGCTTACTGTGTCTGGACGTGACAAGTAAGCATACATAGCGTTCGTGTGTAACTATTCTAGACACGCAAGGTGTTGCATTAACCATTTTCAGACAAGTGTATAGCCTTCATTCGTGTTTAACCAGTAAACAATGTTGTCGCAAAGATGTGCAAACAGAGGGTGGTCGTTAACGGCATATCAGGAAAGCAATTCGGATATTCGATTCCAGTGAAACTGCTAAAAATCACAGAGCTGACAACATACGTAAATGGAAACACAGACTGACCACACTAAAAAGGCATGTCAAATGAACTACGGTATTTACCATTCGTTACAGATGCATTACATATTTTTTCAAGCTGCTAGCTTGTTTTGTGCATGCTCTGACATCAAAAGCAATGATTGTCGCAAATACAACTTTACAAAAAGCAGCATATATATTGATTGGCCGACTTGTTTGAATGAAAAGATACGAATGTGCATGACGCAAATGTGTAAAAACATATACCCCAGATTCTAGAACCAAGCCGGTTCTTCAGCTTACCGTATTCGGGCTCCATCATCAAGTGTCAGTGAATGACTCCTCTTGATGCAGTGATGTAAATAAAATGCGACATCATTTCAGGCATGATTAAGTCCCCAAAACTGCATCTGTGCCTTTCACGCATGATACTTGGGAGCATAGTGTCATCGGGACAGACCATGGCATACGCTCGTAAATTTACCGGCTAATTGGCATTTCATTGACGCTGGGATCTGTTACATTCTGATGGAGTTAAAGGCAGAGAAACGGAGCGACTCTGTGCCAGTTTCGTCATAAGTGTGATCAATGTGATGTGCGCGCCAGGTTCGTTGAATTTCGTAGTAAAGACGCATTATCTAACACAACGTATTCTCATGCCTTTTTGTGCTACGAACCTCCCACTTAATTACTGTGGTGGGATTTTTCGGCTTCCACGAAGAGCGCAGTATACGTATGTCTCCAATAGTATTTTCCAATTAGGTAACTAATAACTGATTATGTTAAACTTGAAATGATGATGACTAGCTGATCGCGGATTTTCCACCCAACTGAACTCAGCTTCTTAGGTTCAGCTTCGGAGTTGTCAACACTCCAAAATGCCTCTCTTTGGTATGATTGAAATGTGCAAAAACCTGAACCCGCTTACAACTTTTTGCAGTGCCGAGCCTGCTGTTCGTTCGAGTTTAGTTGGTTCGAAGGCCTGGTCGTTCATCATAGGCTTTCACTTTAAGTTCAATTTACCGCATGGTGTTATAAGTTGCATTTCAAACTTTTATAGGGTGGTGTTGCGTCCACGGCTGGTAAGGCATCTGTTTGCTCCAAAGACGAGATATATGAACTAACTGCAACTCTTTCCGACATGCATAAAAATCAGGGGTCCTTGCACCGTGAGGTAACAACAAGAATAACTATGACACTCTTATTTAAGAGCGTCCTTTGGTTGAAGGATGACATATTTTATGTCTTTTATACACTAAAGCCGCCTTCAAATTTTAAGTGTTTCATATATCCGAGACTAGTTGGCATGTGAAAGCTTTTATGATAATTGTGTTATCTTGCTGCAATTAGCACTTAGACGTGGTTGCGACTTTCTCCTATTTATGTGCCTTTTAGCATTCGTACTTAGAGCATGGCAATCAAAGTTCGAGCGCAGCTAACTGAATCAACAGAGTATGCTGAACGCGGCTGTACTTCTTACGTCCGAAATATGTTGGACGTAGGATGCAGCAGAAAAGCTCATCGCTTAACAACCTTTCGGCGTGAGCGAAATGATTTGCGTGTTTGCGGCTGTTTCAGCATCGCTGAGGCACAATGCTTTTGGTGCTACGGCACGGTAATGTGAGCCGTTTTTATGAACCCAATATTCCTTGAGGAGGGGTCTTGAATTTATTCCTTTCTTGAGTCGTCCTTATCTTATGATGACCTCATGTAGGGATGAGAACAACAGCTGCTACAGTAAGGGGGAGAGAGAGAGAGAGAGAGAGAGAGAGAGAGAGGGGGGGGGGGGAGGGAGGGAGAGAGAGAGAGTCCTAAGAGCAGGGCCTACGCCAAGAAGTGGTTGTTCTGTGAGCCCACCCCTCACGGGTGTTGATTTGCATTATTTTGTGAGGGCCTCTCCCCCCCCCCCCCAATGTTTGCTTGGCCCCACTAATATTTTTGGCTGGAATGCTAAAAAGAGGGTAAAAGATGACCATAACACAAATACTATCTTCTTTGATCTGTCTGTGTAGTGGCGTCTCGTGCCACTCTTGTAACAAAAAGTCATGGTTACTATCACCACGAGATACAAATCGTAACAGCTGAGCGGATAAACCATGCAATAAACTTCACATACCTAGCGCCGCAAGACATGCAATGGTTTGTAAAGCTAAAGTGAAAGCTCTGGAATATGGGAATGACCTAAGCTCTTCATGGCTAACCCAGTCTCCGTCCCCCTCGAGCAAACTGCGTGCCGCCTGCCATGACGGCCACAGAAGAGCGCCATCGGCGCCCTAAGGTGGCCTCTAAAGGGGCGCCTTTACGTGCCGATCAGAAGAGCCGTCTGCGTCGAGTGCCTGCTCCCTGGATACAACCCTGCATGACTTCTATGCTGCTTCAATTAAATACTTTTATAAATTATTTAAGGTGTGACTTGAGGTGAAAAGCAATTCATTGCATTCAATCAAAATAAAGAGGGCTAAATCCGGCGAGACCAAACGGGGGAGGTTGTCGGCCTTTGTTTCGGCCCCCCTATAGTTCATAAAAATTGAGACCCCTGCCCCCGCCCCCTCCACTATTGAAATGAAAAATATGAGGCTAGCGGCATAATTTGGCGCCGCAGGGCAGCCCAGTTCAGGGCATCCTGGCACAGGGCATCCCAGTCGAGATCAAATTGCGAACGCCAAAAGCGCCTCGAAACCACCCCGCCAAGGACAAGTGAATCAGAGGGTAGGCGCCTTAACCAACTGAGCTATCGGGACGGATGAAGTTTTGTGGCTGAGGGTTTCGGAAAAGGTATGGCGAAACAAGCTATGTTGGTCGCCAAATATCATTGAAATCAAGGACAACGCTTCATACAAAGTGGGGATTTTGGGGAAAATATGGCAAAACAAGTTAAGTTGGCCATCACATAACATCAAACTCAGGGACGGCACTTACTACAAGGGTTAATTGCGGCTTGTCAGCTTGTGGTGGCTGGTCGGCTGGCGAATGGTGTGATGAGATGATGGCTAATGACTAATGCGGATATTTGTCTTGGCTATCATGAAGAAGACCGAGACCATTTTGGAGGGTTCCTGGGCAGGGCTCCAGAATATTCCGGCAGGTTAACACATGCCCTCCTCACTTCCACCCAGCAAGAGCATATAGCCTTTCGGTCGAATGATGAGCATACTTGCAGGGCCCCTGATTGAGCAAGAGTGCCCCGGGAAATTAGCATAAAAGGTGTTTTAATCTGATAAAATAAGGTATTTAGTGGCAGGTAAAACATTCACAAATAAGTCAAGCAGTTTGAATGCATGCTTTTATGTATTCCTGTCTCTCAGTTTGACACGTCATATATGACAGGGCACACGGATACCCTTGCGCTATTAAATCGTGTCACCCGTTTTTTATTTTGTTTTTCTTCTGCTATCCTTCTGCTCGGCTACATTTTGCTCACTGTCTGTGCTGCTGCCGACGTTTCACCTCTTATCTGCAGCAGCCGTGCATGGGAGCCTGGTTCGTAGGTGTCTTCCCATGAGGAGGAGAGCTGGTGATATGCCTGTTGCATCTATCGGAGTGGCTGGCGAGTTTAACCGCGTCGGGTGCGGACCACGCTGCCGTACTACCCGTTTAGCAGTTCTCACTGCGCGTTCCGCCGCGCCGTTAGTTGAGTGTGTGCGAACGACCAGACAGTCTGTGGGTAAATCCTTATGCCGTTGTCAACTCCCTGCATTCAGGCGCTGTGAGCTGTGTTCCTCCGTCAGAGCTCAGCGTACCAGAAATACCGTTAAGAGGTTGAGAAGGCCTTCAGAATTTGTGGTTTGAGGGAGCTCTTGTATCTCTAGGTAGCGACTCAGGATACCCACTGTAACTAAGCAAGCCCTGCCGTCGTGGGAGAAAATGTCGCACGTTGCGACGTGCGACCATTGAGTTATTGGTACTACTGACGGCAAAAGCGGCTGCCTGTATTGTGTTGGCGCCTTCCTCTGCCAGAAGGTGAAGTACTCCTTCAGTTCTTTGGGCATGTTCGGCCACCAAACGCTGTTACGCGCGCCGCGCGCGCTCGTCACACTTGCTGAGGCCGAAATGGCCGTCATCATGCAGCTTGTTGAGGATATCCCTCTGTAGCGTCGCAGCAATAAGTCGCTGTCCATTCATGTTAAGCGGCCCAAATGTCATGTGAAGGATGCTCGGTTGACCGTTTCTGCACGTAAGAGGGAGCCAGGTTTTCGTCTTTGGCTGATTCTTGCCAGCCGTGCACAATCTGCTGTGCCACTTGCTGTGAAACGGAATCTTCCTGCTGCGTCTTTATAATTTTCACGAGCCTCTTTGGAGTTGCAGGCAAGTCTCTCATCACACTGACGCAATGCTGAGGTATCTCGACTTCGCGCATCCGCGTATACTGGCACCTCGACGGCGGCTCAGTCACGCTCTTGATGTTAATGAGCGGAGTCAGCGCTTTGTGATCCATTTCCAACTTAACTTTCGAAAGTCCACTGAGAAACGTGCGAAATTTCGGGCGAGTCCACGTTACTGCCAATGGCTCTGTTTCGACTTGTGCCATCGGCTCTCGACATCTGATAGCGTGCGGCTGCAGGATGTCGCCGGCTGGAGTCGCTGGCCGCGACGCTCCAGTATGCAGCCACCAATCCCAAACCAGCTGGCGTCAGCGCTGACAATGGTCTCCTTCCCGGGATCAAATAACGCTAGGATTGGCGCGTTGGAGGTTAACTGCTCCATCAGCGCTTGCTGCTGAAGATGAGCCCACGTCCAGACGGCTTCGTTCTTTGGGAGGTCGTTCATTGGCTTCAGTTTGGACTGGATATACTTATTAAATCGGCGAAGGTAGTTGATCATTCCTGAGACCGCAGCTTCAATGTCAATGTTCGAATGACCAAATTTAATTTTAAGTCAAAACGAGCAAAGCGAGCCAGCAAGATGCCCGGGACATTTTGGCCATCCGAAGGGCTCGACGTTGCTAGCCCTCAGCACAGGTCAGTCTGGAGGAATCGTTTTTAAAGGCACAGACTAGCATCGAACCTCCACAAAGAAGAGGGCGAGGTACAAAAATCGGCACAAGGTCTACAGTGTGGAACCCGAAGCCGAACATGTCATCCAATCATTGGTTATCAGAACAGATGAAGCGCCTTATTTGACCTTTAGAAGGCTATGGTGACAATTATCATGACGGTGACAAATATCAATCTTGATTTTTACGTTTGAATCAGCATCAAGGATTACGGTAGTTGGTATGTTCCTGAAAACAAAATGATGACTTGGGTCATTTTAGGTCGTTGACTTACTCTGACCTTTATGAAGTTTACGGAAGATGTATAACATGGTCCATATTATCGATACACTCAAATGAGCAGCCGAAACTACTTCAAGGCAGGCTTTAGAGGAAAAATAGGTTGCTTTTTACCTTGGTCTGACCTTCATACGTGACCATAGGTCAATGGAATTTGCAAATGCAATTGTCGTGTTGCCTAAGAAACTATCTCAGAGATGTATGGCTTCGTCTAACACTTCGTTGTTGCAGCTGATTGAACGATTCCCTAAAAATCATCTTCGCTGAATCCATGCCTTGACTGCGACCTGTCGTA